CCGGGGTTTACCTCCCGGCTGTCGGCCGTGCGGGGGTTCCCTGGGTCATCAAAAAAAAAAACGAATGAATTTAATCCCGCGCACCACAACCAATAACCGTACTCACCTTGTGCATAGCCTTGGAACATGCACTTTCTTGGCCTTTCATCGAGCTTACCATCACTAACTCGAACATAACATGGGCAATCAAATATTCTAATAACATAATAATCAGCAATGTTACCTGACCACACTTATTCAGGAGTCCGACCTCCAATCACAGTGAATGGGGATCTATTTACCAGGTAGCTTGCCATACTAAGCGCATCCGCTAGAAATCTCCTAGCCATACCAGCACTAGAGAGCATTTTATGGGCCGTTTCTCATAATATTCTACTCATCAACTCTACAACCTATTATGGTTCATTGGCACTAGTGCGGTGTTTCACTATGCCTTCGTTCATACAAAATTCGTTTAATAGCTTCGAGCAAAACTCCATACTACTGTCAGTACACACATTCTTGATCATCTTACCAGTCTCCTTTTCAATCAAAGCTTTTAACTACATGGTCCTGGCAACAATATCAAACTTGTACCTAAGCACAAACACCCACGTCTTCCTCAAGTAGTCATCCACAACTGTTAGTATAAATCCAGCACTCTTCCTTGAAGGAAACCACGACAACCTGCGAACATCCAAGTGAATTAATTCCGCAATATGTATGATTTCTCTGTCAATCGCATTGAACTGCACTCTCTGCTGTTGATTTAAATCACAGCACCTGCATACATTCAATTCATTAGCAACGTAACCATATAGCAAATTTCTTTCACTTAGAACTTTCAGGCTTCTCTTGTTAATGTGCCCCAAACGCATATGCCATAATTCAGACTCTCGAGTAGATGCATTTGACGTATCCGCAGTGAATTCCGCCACAATCTCACCTTGAAGCTTATACTGGCCACTATGCTCGATTCCTTTCATTATTATCAAAGCACTCCGAGCAACCTTCAAAACTCCATATTCTAAAGAATATCGATACCTGGCTGATTCCAAGGCACTCAAGGAAATAAGATTTTTTTTCAACTCTGGAACATGCCTCACTTCAATCAATGTCCTCACGATACCATATGCATTCTAATTCTAACATCACCAACACCCATAACATTGCACTCTAAATTGTTCCTCAAATGTACTTTACTATTATCTGTGCACTGATAAGTAGTAAACCAGTTCCTATTTGGTGTAACATGAAAAGAATAACCGGAATCCATAATCCATCTGCCAAACGACGAATCATCAGTGATAGACAATACATAATCAACATTATCCGAATTACCATCAGCTATAGCTGCAACGTCATCCGCAAATTCAACTCTAATTCTCTTACCCTTTTCGTTTTTTTGCTTAAAGCAATCTCTTCTAAGATGCCCATTCTTGCCACAGCTCCAACAGACAGTACCACCAGTCCTAAACTGATTAAGTCTATTCGAGTTTATACCACTGTTGCTAACACGTGTACTAGTTCTTTCTCTATTTTCACCTACTAAAGAAGCAAATACATATTCACCAGATTCTTTTGTCCTCACTCAGAATTAAATCTCGAACACCATCAAACGTCAAACTTGTTGACCTAGAGGAATTACTAACAGTAGTAACAATAGTATTCCAACTATCAGGCAATGAGGATAATAGAATCAAAGCACGTATCTCATCTTCAATGTCAATCTTAACTGAACTCAATTGACTAATGACCAAATTTAATTTATTAATATGATCAGCAACTAATGCACATTGGCCCATCTTTAAGTTAAATAGACGATGTATCAAGTAGACCTTGTTGATCGCAGAGGGCTTCTTGTACATGTCCGACATGGCTTTCATCAAACCCGCAGTGGTCTTCTCATTCACAATGTTAAACGCGACATTACGAGCCAATGTTAGTCGAATAACACCCAAAACTCGTCTATCCAGCAATTCCCAGTCAACTTGCTTTATCATCTCTAGCTTCTCCCCAGATAAGGAGCAAGTACAGTTTCATCTGATACAGATAATCCTTAATATGCATCTTCCAGAAACCAAAGTCCTTCCCATCAAATCTATCGATTTTCACTTTTCCTTCTTCCATCGCCATCGATTTGCTTCGACTCAGCCAAGTCCATCTCTGATATCAATTGTTGCGGAAGCAAGTGATTGAACAATAAAATAGACAGAACAAGAAAATAAATCGGACATCATATTTATGTGGTTCAGTCATGGTGATTTACGTCCACGGGGAGAGCAGCACGAAATTCCACTATAGATCGAGCGATACAACGAAAATTATAACCACACTCGAGTCACTCAAACACTCTTAGTATTTCCCAACCCCCAATTACATTTAATAATTCATGCAGTGTTTAGCCTCACATTTTCTCTCGAAATAATCTCTCAATCTTACTCAGGAATTAACAAATCTCACACAACATTTAATCCGCTACAAACACTTACGCTATCGGATGTAATTTGCCGAAGGAAGACCCACAAAACTCACCAAGCACTCGTTTCGGTGCTTCAAGTCTTCTCTGGACGTGGACAGCATGAAGACCACACTCTGCATTCTTCAACTACTGCCTCGCAAGGTGCCCACAATAGAATATATTATATGTGCCCAAGACTTGACCAAATCATGGTCCAAGTCAAAGCCACGTTGGACTTTCTTGTTTCACGCCCAATACTCCAACATAATATAGGAAAGTTGATATTATCTTTGCAACTTCAACACGCCAAATTTAATTCTTGATCAAGATTCCAAATCGTAATCGGCTTTGCTTAATTTCAAACTTTCCTATAGTAAACCAAGCTTCTTTATAATTTATTTCGGATCGGGTTTCGTTCACGAATTCAAACTTGAGACATATTTTAACATTCTTCACACACAATGGATTGGTGTAAGACTCGGTATCAAACCTTTCTTTGAGAGCTGAAAACGAGATAGGCCATACTTTAGCGGTTCGCTTTGTCTCCTCTCCCTAAGCGTTATGCTCTTTTTAGTTGGATCGGGTCAAAAGGTGATGAAAGGGCTAGAATTCTCTAAGGTAATTTGATCAAATAATTTCATGTGAGAACGCATTGCGTGTGTAGTGACTTTAGTTTTGAATTTTTCCAAATTTCGCAACTTATGCACTTTGACTTGTATTTATCATGAAGTGCTTGACCTATAAAATGGGCTTATATCGACATGTAATTTTACATATTTATTTTCCTAATTTTGAAGTTTCGGATAATATTTTGAATTTTGGCAGGAATGTAAAAAGGTTTCTTTCTACTTTTCAGGAGTCCACGCTAACAAACCCTAGAGCTAGCTATGCTTTGCGTTTTTTGGGAGAATACTTGGTTGCTAGCTTCTCCTTCACAAACCTCAATATCAATATGTACCCAAGCTTACCGCTTGTTATCATCGAGTACATCACACGGATACTCCAAGGACTCTATTACCACGAGGACGAACGATGAATCTTTCTTTTATCCAATAACTTACAACTAGTGAGTGGTGCACTAACCTTAATTTGTCCAATAATGTGTATTCATTACTGTGATCATTATAAAATTAAGGGAAAATACCACAAAAAACCCCAAACTATGTCACTTGTGACAGATTTACCCTGAACTTTTTTTTATGACACGAAAAACCCTAAACTATGCCACTTGTGATAAATTTACCCTGAACTTTTTTTTGTGACACGAAAAACCCCAAACTATGTCACTTGTGATACATTTACCCTACAATACTTTGGCCCATGGACATTTTTGTCTTTTTCCTTTTTCTGTTTTTTTTTCCTTCTCTCTTCCCTCCGCCGGTCATGGCGGAGGAAGCCGGCGAGGGCCCTCACCGGCGCTGGGCGAGGGCCCTCACCGGTGCTGGGCGAGGGCTGCCCTCGCCGGATTTGGCGAGGGCGACCCTCGCCAGCGTTGGGCGAGGGCGATCCTCGCCGGCGTCGTGCGAGAGTCGCCCTCGCCTGGGCGGGCGAGGGCAGCCCTCGCCCGGCGTCGGCGAGGCCGCCTCGCCGGACTGGGCGAGGGCGACCCTCGCCCAGCCCATTGTGACGCCGGCCGCCCGCAACTCTCGCCTGACGCCGGCGAGGGTCGCCCTCGCCCAGCACCGGCGAGGGCAGCCCTCGCCGGCTTCCCTCCACCATGGCCGGCAGAGGGAAGAGAGAAGGAAAAGAAAAAGGAAAAAGACGAAAATGCCCATGGACCAAAATATTGTGAGGTAAATATGTCACAAGTGGCATAGTTTGGGGTTTTTCGCGTCATAAAAAAAAGGTTCAGGGTAAATTTATCACGAGTGACATAGTTTAGGGTTTTTCGTATCACAAAAAAAAGTTCAGGGTAAATCTGTCACAAGTGACATAATTTAGGATTTTTTATGGTATTTTGCCTAAAATTAACAAGGTTCAGCGTTTCGAGTAGCGGATCAGACTCAGTTCTGTATAGCAACTGTTCTTTCGCAGTAAGTGGATCGTGAAGAGACCGATGGACGTACACGGTATATGCACTGTTAAAGAAGCCTGTGCTATATCTTTAAATCACGAGTAACCTCTGCGGATCGAAATAACTGGCATGTCTCGATGTTGTAATTTTGTAAGCAGGATCATAAAATGAGTAAAGAAATACGAACTGGCGCGAACATGCCTTTAAGATGTGCTTTTTATTTTTTTAAGTAATAACGATACATGGACCTAATCAAATCTCTCTCTCTCTTATCCAACTGTTCTTGGATTACTTTAAATGAGAAGGAGTAGTCGAATGTCTCATTTAAATTATTGGTTAATCATGTGCAAATATTTTGAGGTTTATCAGGTAGGTAATATGATTAATTATTTTTTCTTTGAATCAGTCATGGAGAATTCTGAGGAGCTAAACCAGATCTTCGCTTATTTAACGTCTGAAGAAAACCACAATGGTGTCTGTAGGATTCCCTCTCCCGTTCTCTCTCTTCTCGATTGTCTTCTCTTCTTCAGGCAGAGACAGTTTTAAAACTCGCCTCCGCCACCAATGATGCACGTGCCGATGCAGATGGCCCAAAACCCTCCGGCGGGGGCCGTCCCCGGGCAGTGGACAACGGGTCTCTGCGGTTGTTGTGAAGATCCCTCCAACTGTGAGTGCTTTCCCGCGTTGTATACGTCGCTGCTTTCAAAATTATGATGAAGCAAGTGTAAAATATCATCATTCTGATGAAACTTTCTAGTTCTATTACACGACATAAGCAATCCATCCTTTTATTAAACATCTAAAATTTCAACTTATGAACTAATTAATCTCTATATTCGTGTACAAAGGTGTCATCACTTTTTGCTGTCCCTGCATCACCTTCGGCCAGAACGCGGAAATCATAGACAGAGGAGCCACCTGTAAGCGCACATTTAAGCTTCAAACACACCATATTTATCAGTTCTTCTCTACATAATCATGATCAGTCGTACCTATACAGTTGATTAAAATGTTCCTCAAGTCTAATGAGAACGTATGTATGAAAAAACAATATATCTGCAGCTTGTGTCAACGGCGCGGTCACATGCTACTCGCTCGCCTACGCGGGCGTCGCGTGCCTATATTCGTGCACTTACCGGAAAAAACTGAGGGGTCTACACTCGTTGCCAGAAGATCCGTGCGCCGATTGCCTCGTGCACTGGTGTTGCATGTGCTGTGCTCTTTCCCAAGAATATAGGGAGCTCAAAAACCGCGGATTTGACCCTTCCATAGGTAAAACTTCTTCTGAAATCAAATCGCGATTGCCTGTGTGTTTCTTTACTTACCATATTTGCTTGATTAAGCTAATTTTGGTGATGAACATGCATACTTACCATATTGCTCCACGTCTCACATTGCTGAACGACATACTTAATAGAGAAATAATTAAGTGACCATCACTAATCAACTGTAAAAATAACATTCTCTTCTGGGCCACTAAAAAACAAATAATAAATAATTATAGATTATTGTGGGGTTCACTCATTCAAGAATTTGTAGCTCACAAATATATTGTTGGGTAGCCCAAAATAATTATGATAGAAAAACCTACTTAATATGAGTTGATCTCATATTCCGTCTTTTCAATAGCGAATCATTATAAACGGTCTCTGCACGTAAAAATCAACGTGGCACAAGACTTATTTTGGTTGAAGATGGTCAATTTCTCTCTTTTTAGCTTCCGGTAACAAACTGAAGTTATGTTCAATCTTTTCTGTCTTAGCTAATGTAGATGATCAATGTATGGCCTTAAGTTTTTCCTTTTCGTGATTCATGATGTGATAAAGGTTGGGTGGCCAATGCCGAGAAGATGAACCAAGGTGCGGCGACGATGCCTCCGACGATGCAGGGCATGGGTCGTTAACTTTGCTTTTCAGGGCCCATCTAATCCAGAGATTGTCCGTGTGCATTTGGCGCAAATGTGAGCTTCGCGAGAGCTTACGATAGTCGATCATGAGTCGAAAGAGTCGCCTACTTATATTCGCTTTTCCTATTTTTGCCCAAAACATGATTGAATTGTTTCATGGACCACTTGTTCGCAATTTTAGTTGCATCACCCTTGTTGTTCTGATTTGTTAGATTGGACATTGGAATTGGATGTGTTAATTTGAAGAGGGGCATACGTATGACGACAAATTAAGCTTATGTTATGTATTCCTTTTTTTCTTGCCGACTATTCAATTGTAACCAATACTCCGTGTTAGTAGAATTCTGAAAGAGTTGGTCAATGTTAAAAAGCTGTTGATTAAAACAGGTTACCAGTCACTTGATTTTCCCGTAATTTGGTGGTAATACATTGACAACTCTATGAAATTACTAAATCTTTTTGGCAGTTCACAAATTGTCAACTCTTTTTTTTATCTTTCATTAATTTTTATTTGTCTTTCTTACCAATACCTTAAATTACCAACTTCCATATACATTTATCAATCTTAATTTGAATGACTTACTAACTTTTTTTTATTAAATTAGCAACTAATTCTTGAGTTGTCAACTCTCATATGAGTTGCTTATCATTTTTATTTATGATTTTAATTTACCGACTTTTGTTATCGTTTACAAATTTTTATTTACCCTTTTTATAATTCTTTAAATTTATCTACTCTTATATAAGCGTACCAACCTTTATTTGTATGACTTACCAGTTTTTTCCTTTAGGTTACCAATTCAAGGCGATGGGGATATCTACAGTAAAATAGGGGTGAAAAAAGTGTGAGTCTATAAGAAATTTTCTTACGACCACTTTTAGATTACCCAATGTTGTTTGAGTTACCAATTTTACAATCAAATAACCACCTAAATTTTTGTTACTAACTCTATTTTGACTTAATCACAAATGTTTATTTTTATCTTAATTCACCAGCTTGTTTTACCTCTGACAGAAAAAAATTATTTTATTATTTATCAACTTTTAGTTACTTTTTTATTAATACTTTAAATTTACCAACTACTATGTGAAATTAACAACCCTTATCGAGTAACTTACCACCTTTATTCTCTATTAGTAAACCAACATAAAAGCTTGTCAAGAAAAAAATCAAATAAATGATTGGTAACTAAATGAAGTAAAAGTTGATATCCTAGAACTAGTTGTACAACCTAATTGGGAAAAAGTAGATAAATCACTCAAATTAGAGTCAATAGTGTTGAAGATACTGTTGCACTGTTGCCCCAATTAATTCTAATTGATCAATGTACTAATCAGGATCAATTAGGATTTATAAAGTATATATTTTTCCTTAATTAGTTCGACCCTATGTGTGACACCTCCAATTTGGACCAAGACGACCAAAGGTAAATAGTAATGGAATTGGCGAGCGGTCCGATCCGAGGGTCGGTAATGGAACGGATAGTATGGTCTGAACGAGTGTACCGAGGGTCGACCATGGGTCGTTGATACTCGAACGCGAATCGATCGCAAATCGGTCATGGATCATCGCGTTGAGTCGGGTAGGTCAAGGTAGGCCATGAACAAGTCATGTGCCAAGCCAAGAGCCTTGTGGCTTGATAGCGGATCAGGCTTTGTGCCAGCCGTGCAAGCTAGGCCTTGTGCCCGGTCAAGGACCGGCCCTTGTGCTCGTCAGCTAGGCCACAAACCGGCCTTGTGCCCGGTCGTGTGCCAGTCATTGTGCCTGACCTTTATGCCAGGCCTTGCGCCCATAAGATCCAGCTCCGACCTAGTTCCATGCCAAACAGACTTGGCCACGAGCCATGCAATGTGCCGACCGTGAGCCAATGAATGCATTCGGTCCATGAATCGATCCCTTACTTGTGTGGCCCAGCCTTGCGCTCGGCGCACCGTCCGTGCAACCCGACACCGTGCTCCGCGCTCATGCACTCTGCTTTGTGCCCGTGCAGTAGGCCCGGCGCCTGTATGGCTTGGCCGTGTGCCCGTGTGGCTCGGCCATGTGCCAGGCCTTGTGCCCGGTCAGGCTCGACTGAACATGCCATGCGCTTGGTCAATCTGGCTGGTCCGACCTTGCACCGTTCAACCTAGACTTTGACTTGGTTATGTCTGGTCATGCTTGGACATATTTTTACCCCAAACCTCGATTCGAATGGGATGGTCGACCATTTTTAGACATGTAAATTCCCATTTACTCAGTTCACCTTTGCTAGTATCATAATGGATTTTGGAGGATTGTGCTTAATGAAAAAATTGAACAATAAGTTGGTTGTCCTTAGTGAATTATTGAGTGTCCTTGAAAGGCTAGAACAAGGGTCACACACCCCAAATTTGGGGAACAAGAAGCCAAGAAGACTAAGTCAAACTTAGGTCAATAATTGAGGGCTAATCATTAGAGAAGTAATTACAATATTCATCCGAGCAGCACTAAGATGTACCAAAATTTGCGACAACATTTTTGGTGGAACGGCATGAAGACGGACATTGCCAAACACGTTGCTAAGTGCTTGACGTGTGAACAAATCAAGGCTCAACATTGCAAGCCTAGAGGATTATTGCAACCACTAGAGATTCCCGAGTGGAAATGGGAACACACTACAATGGACTTTGTAATGGGATTGCCGAGAAGCTAGAGAGGAAATGATTATATATGGGTAATTGTCGACAACTGACAAAATCAGCCCATTTTCTTCCAGTAAAAAAGGACTTCTCACTGGAAGAATACGCGGAGTTATATGTACGATAGATAATACGATTACATGGAGCTCCAGTGACCATTATGTCGGATCGAGATCCCAAGTTCACTACTACTTTCTAGTGAAGTCTTCAAACTGCCATGGGAACGAAACTCCAAAATAGCACCGCCTATCATCTGCAAACGGATGGCCAAACAGAAAGGACCATTCAAATGCTCGAAGATATGCTATGAGTATGTGTCGTCGATTTCAAAGGAAGTTGGGATGAACACTTGCTTCTCATTGAATTTGCATACAATAATAGTTATCAGCAGAGCATCGATATGGCACCGTTCGAGGCATTATATGGTCGAGCTTGCAGGACTCCAGTCTGTTGGAATGAGGTCGGGGAAAAGAAGATCATTGGTTCAGAGCTAACCCAACTCACAATAGAGACTGTGCAGGTGATTAGGGATAAACTTAGAACTGCCCAAAGCCGACAAAAAAGTTATGCTGATAGGCGTCAAAAGCCCTTAGAATTTCAAGTAGGCAACCACGTATTTCTTAAAGTATCACCCATGAGGGGTGTGTCGCGTTTTGGGAGAAAAGGAAAGCTAAGCCCTAGGTACGTCGGACCATTTGAAATTTTAGAAAGAATAGGGAATTTGGCTTATCGGTTGGCATTGCCACTGAAACTTGCTCAGGTGCATGATGAATTTCATGTATCCATGTTGAGAAAGTATGAGCCCGATCCGGCACGCATGCTAAATTTCGACGAGGTCGAATTAGACAGCAAAGTGTCTTATATAGAAAAACCGGTGCAGATTGTGGACCGAAAAGAGCAAATGTTAAGAAATAAGACAATTCCTAAAGTAAAAGTCCTATGGCGCCACCATGGAATCGAAGAAGTCACCTGGGAAAATGAGGAAATCATGAAGCGTTAGTACCCACATTTGTTCGAGGAACCAAGTATGTATTTAAATTTTAAAGATGAAATTTTATTAGAGGGGGAGAGTTGTGACATCCCCAATTTGGATCAAGACGACCAAAGGTAAATAGTAATGGAATTAGTGAGCGGTCCGATCCGAGGGTCAGTAATGGAACGGATAGTATGGTCGGAATGAATGTACCGAGGGTCGACCATGGGTCATTGATATTCAAACGTAAACCAGTCGAGAATCGGCCATGGCTCATCGCGTTGAGTCGGGTAGGCCATAGACGAGCCATGTGCCAGGCTAAGAGCCTTGTAGCTTGATAGCAAACCAGGTTTTGTGCCGGCCGCGCAAGCCAGGCCTTGTGCCCGGTCAGGGACCGGCCCTTGTACCTGTGTGGCCCGACCGTGTGCCACGCCTTGCGCCCGATTAGGCCCGATCGAACAGGCCAAATGCCTAGTCACTCTGGTTGGTCCGACCTTGCACCGTTCAACCTGGACTTTGACTTGGTTATGTCTGGTCATGGTTGGATATATTTCTATACCAAAACTCGATTCGAATAGGATGGTCGATCATTTTTAGATACGTAAATTCCCATTTACTCAATTCACCTTTGCTAGTATCATAAGTTGGTTGTTCTTAGTGAATTATTGAGTGTCCTTGAAAGGCTATAACAAGGGTCACACGCCCCAAACTTGGGGAACAAGAAGCCAAGAAGACCAAGTCAAACTTAGGTCAATAATTGAGGGCTAATTATTAGAGAAGATCTTATCTTCTAAGATACCCAATAATTGAATGTTCTTGAGAGTTCTAGAGGAGCCACACGCCCAAAAAACTTGGAGAACAAGAAGAACAGGAGACCAAGTCAATGAAATTATTGGAAAGCCATCACTAGAAGCCTAGGTGTCCCATTGGCAATTAATGAATAGGATGATTCATATATCCTAAACTTAGGGCATAATGACCCTAAAAAGAGACTTGTAGAACAAGTATGACACTTGTTGGCCAATTGAATCAACAATAATTTGGTCTAAGATTTGGCAAGATTTCCCCTCTATTATTACGCGCCAACTTGATACAAATGATTAGTCCATTTGGCAAGATCATTATTAGAGCTTGGGCTATAAATAGGAGAGCTACTATCCCATTCTTTTCTTTCCTTCAACCTTGCACACACTCACTCCCTCAGTCTCTCTCTCTCGGTCACTCTCTCTCTCGCCCTTCACCATCACCGAACACCCCTTTTTAGGACCACCCCGTGATACTAGAAGTAAGTGAATTCCCTATCATTTGGTTAGGATGTGCTGTTGTGTGGTTGAGCTCGAGTGATGACCTTATTTGTAGTGATTTATGCTTGCTTGTGCAATTGTTTGTTCCTGCATCAAGGCCATGAGTCAAGGCACGGACGGGTCACGAAATGGGGCGTCATATGGTCTTGTACCTATGTTGTG